TGGCACATACCAAGTCTTTAGCATCATTTTCTTAAGCACCTTTGGCTTTCCTTGGAGGTCACTCATTTAGCTACTGACCCAGTTCATTGCCCAACTGTACTTAACTTGTGGCTCTTACATTTTGCAGTGGTATGGCTAGAGTTTTCATTATTAGTTTTGATCCAAGAATACTGGAAAGCCGCCCCCCCGAGGAAATGGAAAGAAATTCCCACATTTTCATAACAAATCCACAATGATTTGGCATAAAGTTTAACTGACTATTGCAGTTTGCAATAGCTGTTTATTATGATGGCTGTGAACTAACTTTTGCTTCAAGTCTTTCCCTCTCCTCTCGCACAATTCTCTCCTTTTCAAGTCTTTCTGCTTCTTCTTGTTCAGCTCGTAAACGGGCTTCCTCTGAAGAATGAGAAATCTATTATCAGCAATACAAGTACATCCTGATTAATAAAAACAAATACATTATTTTAAAAACTAGCTAGCAGATCAATATTTTTATTTCAAAATAACTAATAACTGGTGATAGCAAGAGTTCAATCTACATTGTCCACTATGGGTTCAATCCATAACGTTTGGAAGCAGTGCCAGATAAAGTAAATCCACATCTCTATGCACACAGATCTCCCCATGGCTTACCCCCCCTTGGAGTTGTGGGGGCAGATGTGCCATTCCTACAATTCCACAGAAGCAGAGACAGAGTCTTTTTTCCCCTCAATGGGAAGTAGCAGGAGTCCTCTCCTCCCGCACCTACATATTAAGAGGCAGAGGTGGCAGCCGGCAGTCCCCCAGTACTCATTACAATAGCTATAATGGATCTGATTTGGTGGTCTGGTCCTGCTTTGCTCATCTCCTCTTGCCATATACATCATCCTCTGCTAAGGTGATGTTGACAGGTTCCCCAAGCTCTTGGAGTTAGTAACCCCATTGAGATGCATGGGATAGTTCAAAGTTATTTTATCAAGGTCTCTGTAGGTTCAGACAGGTGTCATCACATAAGCTAAACTAGAATCACATTTCAATATTTTCTTCTCAGCCATTAGGGCTAAAAAACAGGGTTTTTTTATGATAGCTGAGATTCTGATTACATGACTACAGGAGATGCAGCCCTAGGCATAGGCCTATGCCTCTATGCTTTAATCCATCCCTCTTTGCAAGACTGTCCTAACATTAATATGGAGCGTCTGTTGCTGTCTGAATGCATTGATCAGTACTCTGTTAAGCTCAAAGTCGGCGTACTCTGTTGATCTACTTTGAGAAAAGTCCTGGTCATTGAACTTCTCATTCCCCCTGATTACTAAACGTGGAGAAGAGGAAATATCTGTTCCCCTATCTCTCTACCCACTTAGATTCATAGATTCATAGATTCTAGGACTGGAAGGGACCTCGAGAGGTCATCGAGTCCAGTCCCCTGCCCGCATGGCAGGACCAAATACTGTCTAGACCATCCCTGATAGACACTTGTTCTTGACTTGGCTGGGAGAGTACCAGAAGGGAAAATAAGGAAAAATTGTAATGCTCTCCCCCACCCTCATACACTTTCCAAACATTTGTGGGGAGCAGAGGGAGGAATAACTAGTGGAAAGAGTGTGTAGAAAAGGATTTTGAACATAGTGAGGGGGATATGTGGGGGTCTCAAAAAATAACTTTGTTTAGGGCCTTCCAAAACTTTAAAGCCAGCCTTGAGAACAGAGAAATACAAGTAAATCATCCTATTGAGATGAAACAGAATTTAGATATCCTTAATGATCATAATTTGCACTCTACCTATTTAATTAGTTATTTGGTGTAATCACATTTCCTGTAAGTGAAACACACTGTACCTTCCTCTATCAATCTTCTATCTTCTTCTTCTTTCTGTAATCTCAGTCGTTCAGCTTTGCTAAGTTTCTTTTTACCTCCACTTCCACCAGACTTAACATGGGCAATAAATTAAAGGAGACTAAATGTCAACATTAATTTTACACATTTTATTTCTCTAATGTAGCATTTCAAAGTATATTTTCGGTCTTTTATGTAGCAACATCTGTGTTCAAAAGATAACAGAAGAACAGGCTATTATGTCAGTAAAGGAAACAAATTTTTCTTGTAACCCACAAAAATAGCTGAGTGTTTAAACCAACCCTATCCTCAGGGAAATGTGGTTAGCAAGACTAATGAAGTGAGCGCATTTAAAAGTTGGATTTTTGTGTTGTACTAAAATATCATTCATATGACAGAACAAAAGATTTTTTCACTTTTGAAAGTAAGCATAAAGAATGTTGATTTAAAGAATACACAGACAAGACAAAGTCACAGGAACAGTCCTTTAACATAACAGCACAATTAAGAGATGATTAAAGCAGGGAATTTATATATTTTGTTGTAACTTTCACCAGTTTCCTCACTGACATAAGAATATTCATATAAGTAAGAAAAGTAGAGCTAGACATATTGGGCCAAATTCTCCTTAATCAACTTGAACCAACATAACATGGGAAAATGTGACCCATTATATACACTATATTAGAAAAAAATCTATGTATTGTAATAATTAATTGGGAAATTAACTACATACTAAGGACCAGATGCTACTGGTGGCTCAGCATATAAGATCTCTGCAACATATATATGTGTTAAGGCCCTGAGAGCAGCCTGAAGACTTAATTGAGAATCCACTGGTATTCTCCTGCCCTCCAAAAGATAGGTTCCCCAGAGTCCTGTTTTCCTTTTTTTTTCTGGTAGAGTCCACAAAGGAGATCGTTTAACCCATACTGTGAGGAATAAGCAAAATCACCACACATTACCATCTAAAATAAATAGATTTAAAAGGAATAATATTAAACTATTATTAATGTATTAACTAAAATAGCCTGTGCTTTTGAGCCTCTTCATATGTATAGTTACTAAATCAAATTCTATCCTTTAGAATAGAATAGGTAGAATCGAATTCTAAAGGACAGAATCCGATCTAGTAACTATACATATGAGGAGGATCAAGAGCACAGGCTATTTTGGTTAATCCATTAGTTAATGAATAAATAAATATACATTTGTTAATGTATTAGTTAATTAATAATTTAGTTAATACATGAGTTTTTACTCAATGTTTATTCAGACAAGGTTCTCATTGACTGCAATCATATGACAGCCCTATGCACAATACAATACAACTTGGTTCTGTATAACATTTTTCATACATGTATCTAAAAATGTTTTACGGAATCCAAATAATAATTACAAAGCTAACAGACAAATAATAGTAGAGGAGGGAGAGATTACAAGGGAGAAGAGAGATTTTCATAAAAGATTATAATTTATTATTTATATTGTATAAACAAGCTACAAGCAGAGTCCTCACTCAGGATCAAGGGCATGCTGTGCTAGGTGCTGAACAAACATATTTGACGATATCTGATATATAACATAGATAGAGCTGATGAGTTAGCAGTATAAAGGAAGGCTATTTTAGATGGCAAAAGTTGAAAAGAAGAAGGTGGCTCTTGCAGTAGTAATGGCCAAAACATGATAGAATAGAGAGGGCTAGTATTAGACCGGGGTGGCCAACCTGAGCCTGCAAAGGAGACAGAATTTACCAATGTACATCGCCAAAGAGCCACAGTAATACATTAGCAGCCCCCACATCAGCTCCCCCGCTGCCAGCGCCTCCTGCCCACCGGCAGCCCCGCCTCCTCCTCCCCTCCCCATACCTCCTGATCAGCTGTTTTGTGGTGTGCAGGAGGCTTTGGGGGGAGGGGGAGGAGTGAGGGCACGGCAGGCTCAGGGGAGGGGGAAGGAAGGGGTGGAGTGGGGGCAGGGCCTGTGGCAGAGCCAGGGGTTGAGCAGTGAGCACCCCCTGGGCCATTGGAAAGTTGGCGCCTGTAGTTCCAGCCCTGGAGTCGGTGCCTATACAAGGAGCTGTATATTAACTTCTGAAGAGCCACATGTGGCTCCAGAGCCACAGGTTGGCCACCCCTGTATTAGACTAAGAGGGGAGATGAAGAGAAGGAGAATGAACCATGAGATTAAAAAAAAATCCAAGGAAGATAATTTTGTACTGAATTGCACAATCAGCACAGAGCCAGCAGAGTTGTTTGTTGTGACACATACATTTTTCTTTGTGTGTCTTAGAAGATAAGCAGTGGTATTCCACAAATGCTGTAATCAGCAGTAATGGGACTTGGAGAAACCAAAGAGAAGAGAGTTACAGTAGCTAAAGAAAAAGATGATTTTATTATGGACAAGGATTTCAGCAGAGGTAGAATAAGACAGCATTGTGCAGATGGTGATGGATTTGCAGATGCAGAAGATATGGGAGAAGAGTTCAGAGTTAAGCTTGAATCCAAGCGTATGGACAACAGACAAAAAGAAACATCCAAGTCAAGGAAGGTGTCTGAGTTGCATTTGATGATGTACCTCCTGACTGACCAAAAGATGCATCTTTGTCTCTGAGACACTTAGCAAAAGGCAGATGAGATGAAACCATACGTTCATTTGTTTGAAACAGAGGAGACATGGTGACATGCAGAGTTGAATAACACCAGCATAAAAGTGAGAGCTAGGATGTAAAGGTAGAGATTGGGAACCTGATTCTCCACTATCTTGCCACTTGCACCGATATAGACTGAGTGGGGAGTGCATGTAACGTGCTATCAGTCCAGAATAGTAAAATTTTACAGCTATTTTGCAAAGATGTAAATGACTCCACGAAATGCAAGGCAATAAAGAATCAGGTGCAGGATAACCAAAAGGAAGATGGGGAGAAAAGAGCAGAAGGCTAAACTCTTTTAAATAAATAGTGTGATATAATGGAAGCCTTCTCGTTATGTACTTTTGTCCCATTTTGGTAGTAGTGATATTTTTGGTAAATATTATCTTAAACAAACCATTTTTATGAAGAGCTTTCAGATTATCCAGGAGGACCCTTTTCATTCAATATTAAAAAATGTGTTCTGAATTCTGTTATTTCCAAGGTGATTAGCATACTGTCAGCTAACAGAAATATCAGGGAAGCTATTCTGTTCTGTATTGCCAGCCAAAATGACAAAATGTTTTGAACCTTGTATGGCAAAAAACAAATGAAAACTTAAATCAAATGTATAAACTGAAACTTAGTTAAAAGACTTGTTATGAAACTTGAACAAAACATTAGGACAAATTTACTGATGAAAAGAGATGGTAACTCTACTGAAGACAATGTAGTTATGACTAGGGCTCCGTGTCTGCCACAGAGGTCGCGGAAGTCACGGATTCCGTGACTTTCTGCAACCTCTGTGACTTGTGCAGCAGCCAGTGTGGCTGACCCCAGGACTGCCCAAGAAGCTGGCTCCAGAGCCAGGGACTCTGGTTGCCCGGGGAACAGCCACATCAGCTGCTGCTGGAGCAGCCCCGGGGACAGCCACACCAGCTGCTGCTCTGGCGTCTCCCAGTAGCGGTCCCTGGGTGGCCGGCAGGAGCAGCCACAGTCTGTGGCCCCCGGCAGCAGCAACAGTCTGTGGCCCCCGGCAGCATTCCCTGGGCAGCTGGAGCAGCCATGGTCTGCGGCCCCCCGGGCAGCTGGTGCCGCTGGCCCCGGGTGCCCCAACCCCAGCAGTGGGCCCCCACAGATGTCCCCCTCCCAGCAGCACCCCCCCTGCCCCCACCCAAGATTTAATCACAGGTATTTTTAGTATAAGTTATGGACAGGTCACAGGCCGTGAATTTTTGTTTATTGCCCATGACCTGTCCATGACTTTTACTAAAAATACCCGTGACTAAACTGTAGCCTTAGTTATGACCTACTAAGGCAAGAGTGAATCCCATCACGTGTTACTCACGCATTCATCTGCAAAGTTCTGCCACAATGAGATCTGTAGATACAGACATGAAAGGTATGCTCCTGAGTTTGACTCCAGGATGAGGCCTTAGGATAGTAAAGCTGAAAACTTTTTAGATATCCAACTTACTTTTTACCATATGTCATTTGTTGACTTTTCTCTCTCTCTCTCAGCATGGAAGATGCAAGACTATTCAGTTTCACTTGTTTACAATCATATTCTAATCGATTTTCTTTTCAGATTCTCCTGCCTTAGTCAAGTGTTGCAATGTGTGACCTACCAAAATGCTACAGGAGAACATGTTTGTTTTTTGTAAATTTTAAAAACTATACTGGAATTTTTAAAAATTGAATTTTTTGTCTCGTTTTTACAAAATCTAACTTTTTGCACCAAATTTGACCCAACAGTATGTTTTAACCTCCTCCTCCCTCCCCCCATCCCAGCCAAAACCTGCAAAACCGTAATACTATTTTGCAGATTAACTCCAGAAGGGACTGTGAGTTATCTAATCTGACCTTCTGCATAAGAGTTCAGTTCTGTCAATATTTTCATTAATGATTTGGATAATGGAGTGGAAAGTATGCATATGAAATCTGCAGATGACACCAAGCTGGGAGTCATTGCAAGCACTTCAGAAGACAGGATTAGAAAACAAAACGATCTTGATAAAATTAGAGGTTGAAATCAACAAGGTGAAATTCAATAAAGACAAGTGCAAAGTCCTTCTCTGAGGAAGGAAAAATCAAATGCACAACTACAAAAGAGAGAGCAGTTGGCTAGTACTGCTGAAAAGGATCTGGGGGTTATAGTGGCTCACAAATTGAATATGAGTCAACAATGTGGTGCAGATGCAAAAAAAAGGCTACTGGGGGTGTATTAACAGAAGTGTTGTATGTCAGACAAGGGAGGTAACTGTTCCTCTCTACTCAGCTCTGGTGAAACCTTAGCTGGAGTACAGTGTCCAGTTTTGGGCACTACACTGTAAGAAAGATGAAAAAAATTGGAGAGAGTCCAGAAGAGAGCTACAAAAATGATAAAAGGTTTTAAAATCCTGACTTCTAAGGAAAGGTTAAAAAAAACTGTGCATGTTTAGTCTTGAGAAAAGAAAGACGGGGGGGGGGGGACCTGATAACAGTCTTCAAACATGTTGAGGGGTGATAAAGAGGATGGTGCTCAATTGATCTCCATGTCCACTGTACATAGGACAAGAAGTAATGGCCTTACTTCTGCAGCAAGGGAGATTTACGTTAGATATTAGGAAAAACTTTTTAATTATAAGGGTAGTTAAGCTCTCAAATAGGCTTCTAAGGGAGACTGTGGAATCCCCAGCATTGGAGATTTTTAAGAACAAGTTGGACAAACACTTGTTTAGATTTAATTGGTCTTGCCTCTCTGTGCAGGGGCCTAAACTTGATGGTCTCTCAAGGTCTACAGTTCTATGATTTTGTAACACAATCCATAGAATTTCATCCTGTAATTTCCTAAGTGAGGAGAATGTTATTTCCAACTATGTAAATGAACACTACTGAGTCCAACAAACTGTGTCTGAGCTAGATTGTATCTTTGCAGTTATATCTACATCTATCTGATATATCTATATATCTACCTACCTACCTTTTTTTTCTTTTTTGGACCCTAAAAGTTCAGAGAAAAAGAAGAGAGAGAGAGAGTCAGAGATTATAGTACCTAAACAAATTATAAGGAATAATTAAGAAATGCAGCTACTAAGTAAATTAAAATCAGATAGGTAAGTATATTTCAATTCAAAGTTTAGCCATTGATAACAGATAATATGAAAAAACTTTAATATGAGGGAAGGGGAATAGCCAATGAGCTTTAATACTGGGGAAAGGGAGAACCACCAGTATTACACAATTTCATTGCTTTTATTGGTACTAACAGACCACCACCACATTTCATAGCAATATACTGTAGTTAAGGTTGGGGGAGCACATCCATTCTAATTTCTCCATTAAAAGTCAATTGACATCATCAGATACTAGTACGTTTTAGGTAAAAATGTCTGAACTCCTTGCTTCCTGCTTTCACCGGTTTGTAGTACATATAATCTTACAATTATTATCAATTACTATACAGAAATGGGTATCATTGATCCCTTTTTTTATGTGGAGAAACTGAAGCACAAAGACACCAAGGGACTTTTCCAAAAGTAACACAAGGAGTTATATGGATCAGCGTTCATGTTGCATTCCACATCAGTACCCTGCCCAGGCCAGGGAAACTAATGATCCAACCAGCAGATCAAATTCGGTGATGAATCCTGGTCACATGCCACCTGAAGCACGTTGCACATACGCTAAGAAGTCAGAGCAAAGAATAGAAACTAAAGTATCCCAACACTCAATCCCTACAGGACACTGTATCGTGTACCAAATGGTTACATTTTCAGTGCAATATGTAGGAGATAGCTAGTTAATATGTATGGACATTGATTGGCTAAATTTTTAATGCATTATTTTGAAAATTTACAGAGAATATTGAAGTGGAATGTAGAGGCAGCCAGTGGAGTGGAGAAGCAAGAGAACACGGAGGTAAAGATGGGCAGAAATGGATACCTGGGGAAGGAATAAAGGGTTCCTCTAGGGGAGTGGAAGAAGCTGTCTATTGTGGTGGAATGGTTTTGGTAAGGTGTGAAGGTGAAGTTTAGGGGAATGAAAGCTGAGTTTCATGCTAAAATATCCCAGGGATTTCCTACAACATAAAAAAAATGGATTCATTAGGGAGGAATAAAGGCTCAGATCCTCAATGATACTTAAGCTCCTAACTTTCATTGATTTGGGGAGCCTAAATACTTTTGAGGATCTGGCCCAAAGTGCCTGTCTCCTCCAGATTACCTTTTTAAATCAAGCCCAGATTGGCAATAACTGAATAGGATTTCCAATTTAGTGGCCTGTGTGAAATGCTTTGGTGGTCTCCGTCCAGTTCCTAGGGGATAAAGGTCCACATTGCAAAAACCCACCACCATAATCAGTACTAGATGGGCACTTTTGTTGGCAGTCCCAGCAAAACTGGCTGCAGAAGGCTGAAATGCCCTCTTGTGGGAGACATTTGAACGGCCCCTCTGCCTAGTGCCTTCTACCTTTTCCGTGATTACTGGCACTCAGCTCCCTCCTGTTTACCTGATTGTTTTTGTTTAACCCTCCGACTGTCCCAGTAACCCTTACCCTCAACGTAATGGAAAGGGATAGTAGGTGCTGGAACTAGGGGTGCTGTGGGTGGCTTGAAGGGGTTTCCATTATATACAGGGGGTTACAGTTTGGTTCAATGGCTCTCAGCACCCCCACGACACAAATTGTTCCAGCGCCCCTGGAAGAGACTAAAGCAAACCAGCTCGCCTCCCTCGTCACGGTTCATCTCCTGTGTGCAACTGGCAGGGGCAGGCGGCGGGGCCCCGCCGGGCTGGGTGAGAGGCGGAAGCCGCGATGCTAAAGGCTCAGAGGCGGGCGGGCGCCGGGCGGGGAGGGGGCTGAAACCCCCGCGCACCCCGGGGCTCGGAGCGGATGGGAACGGGGAGCTGAGCCGGGGGACGCCGAACCCCAGTCCCCGCCCACCCCCCCAAACAACCCCCAGGGCCGGGCCCTTCCTGGGGTCGCCCCCCCGCCCCGCTCTCACCATCTCGACGCGTCCCCCCCAGCCCGGCGCGAGGCGCTGTTTACCGCTCCCTCCCCTTGTTACCTAGACGACTAGTCCCACCCACGTGGAGCTCTCGCGCAGCCGCGCCGGACGCCCTGACAACCCTCTCCCCTCCTCCCCACCCTCGCGCAGCCGCAATAGACTTCCACACGCTTAGCTGACGCGGCCGCCCCGGGGAGGTGGCTCGCTCGTGACTTTATCACTCTGCGGGAGGGGTTGCTAAACTGGGGCGGGATCGGTGGCGCTTTACGGCCGGCAGAAGGTGCCGTAAAGCGTGTGCGAATGGTTTTGTGGCAGGGCAAGTGGTGAGGTACAGATCCCCCCTTCCCCTCTCCGAGACCCGGGTGCAGCCCGTGCGGCGGGGATGGGCGCTGCCCTGACGCCAAGGCTGAGTCCCAGCCCCCAGGGGCCTTAACCACGCACCACCCCGGGGAGGGCAGCCAGGGGAGCAGCGCCCTGCCCCACGCTTGGGAGGGGGCTTGTGGATGCTGCACTGAGAGCAGCGCCCCGTCATCCCCAGGGGCCCCCTAGGCCAGGCAAGGGAGTGGGGGGGGGGGGCTCTCGGGCAATGGCTGCACTGCACTGTGATCCCGGCTCTTTCTGTGGGGTCTGGGCTGGTTCCGAGCCAGCGCTTGGGCGTCCCCACTGCACCGTAAACTTGGCCTTACAGTTGCTCGACCTGGGTCCCCTACCCCAGCTAACACGTCCATACTGCCCTGCACAGACCTTCTGACTTGGATCTGCAGCTTGACCTGAGTCCACACTGCAAATTTAGAGGGCTTGGACCGGAGGCTGCGTAGGATTTGGGCTTTGAGTCCACTCCCCCTGAATGGGATCTTCGGGCTTGGTCCTGAGTACTTGCTGACCCAAATCAGACTGACTTGCACATTGAAAGAAGCAGGGCGTAGGCTCAAACCTGAGTGAATCCTGGGTTCAGTGTGCCGTGTAGACATACCTTTAAATGACCTGTATTGCTGCTGATACTGGGGTAGCAATCCAAACCCACACACAGCCCTGTGCTGCCCCCACCCCCATGCTGATAATCCAATCCAAGAGTTTATAGCCAACCCCAGGGTTCTCATCACAGATATCCATGGTGTTGTCAACTCTTGTGATTTTATTTTCAGTCTCAAACACTTTTAGGGATGCCTTAAAGCTCCAGCTCCTGAAACCATGTGATTATGTGAGAATCTCAGTTTTGTTTGGGTGGGGGGGAGAAGAGACATTTCTATCTAGCCCTTGTTTGTGAAGAAAAGCTGGAAAATGTGATCTGCTAAAGGCTCAAAATATTTTTTAATGTGTGTTTATCAATTCTGCCTATGCATGTTTTTCTTATGAGCCAGCAGGGCAATGGAATAGGCAGAGACTCCCTTTTCAAACAAAAGTGGCCCTCAGAGTAAGTCACGTATACTCTGCTTATCTACCTCCTCAGTAAAAACAAAGGATTGAGCTGAGACTCAGAATGGGCTCACTGGGGTATCATCATCCCTTGTATTGGTGGAACTGCTGGGGTTCCTTGAAGTATGTGGGTTTATATTTCACACACACACACGACTTGTTATATCATACTTTTAAGTATAAAAATTGTCAACATATCCCCTCCCCACTTTCCAGTGTTAATATGTGTTTTTTT